GGGGGGGGGGGGGGGGGGGGGGGGGTCCTGGGGTGCCCGTGACCCCCCCTTGGTGGGCCTTCTTTTGAGCAAAGAACCTACAATATTCAGGTGGCGAAAACGCCATGACAATATCTTGGCCGTAAAAGCCATTGTTGAAAAGCCAACTGTTTTAAAATTTGTTTTATGTTAAGTATTTTCGTCAACGGCTTGGGCCTTCATGCCGCGATAATACGACTGAGCCCGCTGATACACGAGCGAGAGCAGCGGTATAAACCATATATAGTCGGCGATCCCCGGATGGTGTCCCTGCTTAACACAACGAGTTTCAGCTTGAAAATGTCGAAACAAACGAAAGTTTTCAGCTATTTTCAGTGCAAGGAAGTTCAAAAGAGGTAAGGAATGTTCTTTATCTGATTTAGGTTTAAGTCTTTCTTCTCTGACAATCGGCATCTAAGTTGCTACAGTTAATTACAATGCATTGTTTGCCGTGTGTTTTTTCAGGCCAGAGCAACCGGAACACGTTGTCAATGAAAGTGTCGTAGTGGAGCCAGCTTGCAAGCGAGTTAAACCCAACAATGGTAAAGTTTCATTCACAATTCATTCAAAATGAACATGTATGAATGCAGGGCAGGCTTTGTTTTTCTGTCTGATACTTTTGTTTTTGTTCTTGTTGACGATGAATACAGACGTACACGACGGCGATACAACATCGGAGATAGTCGATAAGACACCAGCACCAGCAGCGGCCTCTGGTAAGTTTAGGTCGTTATTTTTTTTGGATGTTTTGATAAAACTAGAGGTAATACCGTAGTCACTCGATATTTTTTTATCGATATAGGTTTGCTGGATCTTCCAGATGAAATTGTTTTGAAAATTCTTCAATACCTACCGCTATCATCAGTCATTCAAAGCTTGTCAAGGACATGCAAGCGAATATTCCAGCTATCCCATACTGCTGTGTTATGGAAACGTTTTACATTACAGGATACAGGGCGTTCTCCTTTCTACACGAGGCATAGTTTTAAAGGCATATTTGAGAGGCACTGTAAACATTTCCAGCATTTATATTTCAACGGCGAGTTCGAAAAAGATTTTTTCCTGTGGTTTACTAATCGTAATGTTACACGAACTTTAGGAAATTGCTCAAATCTTGTTATTTTAGATTTGTCAACAAATTTTCACATAAAAGGCGTTTCTTTTGTAGTCAATCTGTTACATTTGAAAGAGTTGTACTTAGAACATTGTATAAATATTGATGATGTGGTAGCCACTAGTGTTCTGAGTTGCGATGCTTATTTACAAGCTCTGGAAACTCTTAGTTTAAGAATGTGCGAACAGTTCGACTCTGAGGAGTTGATTGCTATTGCACTCAGCCACCCTAGTCTTCGAATATACAAGATAGATGGTTGTTGTAATCTCGATGTCCTTTCATGTGTTAGAATTTTAAACTTCCCACGGTTGTCATTGTCAGAGTTTGTCATGACACCAGATTTAGACTGTCATACCATAGAAGAATGGAATTACTTAGAAAACATGTTTGATGAACTAAGACTGTGCTGAACGAACTGATTGTCACTCTCGTTGCCAAGAGAACTAAAAAATGCGAGGCATTACAAAACACACAGGAATCCGTAACGTTCACTTGTTATTTCTTTATTGTTGATTATTTAATCCTTTGTATAAAAAGTTGCTGTTGTTAGATAAAGAATAGTCACAGTGGCGTCAAGCTGTAACTGTTTGACATTTAGGAGCCATGAGATATATAACAAAAATTTTCTTGACTATCAACTTCAAAATTGTTGTACTTTCTTTTGTAGTTGAAGCTATAGATGACTTTGCTGGACTGCTAACTGCAAAAAAAAGAAATCTATCAGACCAAGAAAAGTTTCAGCTATTGACCAAGGACTATACGCCATCCGAAAAATTTGTTTTCCCAAAGACTAAAATATATGGCAAAAACAGGTCGTTTCAAATGTCTTGGCTGAAAGAATATACGTGGCTAGTGTACAGTCCTTCCAAAGACGGGGGCCTTTATCGAGTATGTCTCGTGTTTCCACCAAGTTCCAACGTTGCGAACACTGGGACACTTGTGAGTTTCGCCATGACAAAATTTAATAAGGCAAATGAAATATTAAAAGAGCATTCCAAAAAGAAATATCACAATGACGCTCTTCTTCAGGCCGAAAACCTTATAAAGATGATGCGCTTTCCAGAAAAAGCGATTTCGTCCGTTATCGAATCTTCAAGAGTAGCACAGATTGAATACAACCGCAAGGTTCTAAGAAGCATTGTATCAAGTGTAATATTTTGCGGGAAACAAAATATAGCACTTCGTGGTCATATGGAATCCAGTACGGATAACAACAGCAAGAATCGAGGAAATTTTCTTGCACTTCTTGACTTCCGTGCAGAAGGAGGAGATGAGATTATTGCGAAACACCTACGCGAGTGTGCAAGAAATGCTACTTATACGTCTGCTACTATTCAGAATGACATAATAGCGATAACAATGGAGTATTTGAGGAACCAAATTATTAGTGAAACTCCAGAACATGCACCTTTCTTCACGATTCTCGCCGATGAAACAACTGACGTTTCGAATACCGAACAGCTTTGCATATCAATTCGATTTGTCGATGAAACTTGTAGTATACATGAAGAATTTCTTGGATTTGTAAGTTTGGCACGGACGACAGGTGAAGCTGTGGCAACATCGATCCTCGAGGCGCTCCAAACCTGGTCATTAGATGTGAAAAATTGCAGAGGACAAGGATATGATGGAGCATCTAGTATGTCCTCGGCTGCAAGAGGTACACAAGCATTTATCAGACAAAGGAGCCCCAAAGCAGTCTATACGCACTGTAATGCACACTGCCTGAATCTTGCTTTTGTACATTCCTGTGATATTCCAATGATAAGAAACATGATAGGAACACTTAATGAAATATGTTCTTTTTTCAAGTTCTCACCAAAAAGGCACGAGCTGTTAGCGGCAGTTATTAACAACGTATGCCCTAACACACGCCGGACCACCCTAATTAGTCTTTGTCGCACTCGCTGGGTGGAGAGGCATGAGGCGTTCGAAGTATTTAACAGCCTTTTCAGAGCAATTGTCAAGACATTAGAAGTAATGGCAAATGAGCGTGTTTACCTTGACGAGTACGGATCCTGGAAATGGGACCAGGAAACGCGCACAAAGGCGAACGGTTTTCTGGCAGTCGTAACTCAGTTCCAGTTCATAGTAACGATGATCACAGTGATGAAGTGCTTGTCTGTCCTGAAACCACTAAGCATACAACTGCAGAAACGCGACAGTGACATTTATAAGGCTTACACCCAAGTTAGCTCTGTGAAATCAGATGTGAAAGCTATCAGAGAACAGATCGAGGTTCACTTCAATCGGTGGTACGAAGCAAGCGTTGAACTAGGCAAAGACGTCGATGTTGAACCCGCACTTCCAAGAATTGCCAACAGACAGCGGCATCGTGATAATGTTCCAGCTGCCACACCTGTTCAGTACTTTCAACGTTCACTGTGCATTCCACTGATGGACCACCTTATAGCCCAAATGGACACGTACTTCAGTGAAATTCAGATGAATGTCTCCAAACTGATGTGTTTGGTACCTGAGGTATTGGTCAGTTCAAGTGACGCCACAATTGATGCAGCAATTCAGTTTTATCGAGATGATTTGGTATCACCGGATGTCGTTGACGTTGAGCTTGTCCGTTGGCGTCGCAAATGGTCAGACGTGGCTGACAAATCGAGTCTTCCAAATAGTGCCTCAGCCACACTTAGGGAATGCGACCCTATTTTCTTTCCCAACATAAATGTCCTACTTCGCATTCTTTGCACATTACCTGTTACTTCCGCGGAGTGCGAAAGGTCATTTAGCACTTTAAAACGCCTGAAGACGTACTTAAGAAGTACAATGACTACAGAGAGACAGTCAGGTCTAGCGATGATGAACATCCACTATGGCAGAGCAATTGACATTGATGAGATCATCAACATTTTTGCCACTCGTCATCCACGCCGCCTTTTACTAAAAGATATTTTGACAGATAAGCAGTCAGAATAGAATAGAGTTTTTTTGTGGAACTTAACTGCTGGCTAGAAGCTATTTTGTAGGCTTGTCCTGCCCACTATACTCTCACCGCTCATCCCAAAACTGTAACATTAAGTAAAACATGCACGGCGTGGAGGTCGACATGACAATCTGGTGAGTAGCCTCTGTGACCCCCCCTTTGAAAAATCCTGGCTACGCCCCTGTTTGTTCATTGTACTAGTGTTTCTACGTTCATGCCTTAACACTTGTTGTAGCTACAGATGGACAGATAGTAGTTTGTTTTAATAACAGGTCACTCTGCAACAGTTCTTGTCTACTAAAGGATTCTTCTGTCCATCTACAAGACGACAAAAACGCACCAATCTATTCAATACGATTTACGAATTCGCGTAACAGAAGCGCTATCCGAATTTTTCAGTNCAGTCAGGTCTAGCGATGATGAACATCCACTATGGCAGAGCAATTGACATTGATGAGATCATCAACATTTTTGCCACTCGTCATCCACGCCGCCTTTTACTAAAAGATATTTTGACAGATAAGCAGTCAGAATAGAATAGAGTTTTTTTGTGGAACTTAACTGCTGGCTAGAAGCTATTTTGTAGGCTTGTCCTGCCCACTATACTCTCACCGCTCATCCCAAAACTGTAACATTAAGTAAAACATGCACGGCGTGGAGGTCGACATGACAATCTGGTGAGTAGCCTCTGTGACCCCCCCTTTGAAAAATCCTGGCTACGCCCCTGTTTGTTCATTGTACTAGTGTTTCTACGTTCATGCCTTAACACTTGTTGTAGCTACAGATGGACAGATAGTAGTTTGTTTTAATAACAGGTCACTCTGCAACAGTTCTTGTCTACTAAAGGATTCTTCTGTCCATCTACAAGACGACAAAAACGCACCAATCTATTCAATACGATTTACGAATTCGCGTAACAGAAGCGCTATCCGAATTTTTCAGTACTTAAGACAAATTTGAGTTGAACATACAACCGACTACCATAAATGACGTAATAAACGCCCACTTCCAAGAAATGCATCCTATCTTATAAACGCCCCATCTATGCTGTTTAAATTGCACTAGACGTCCCTTTCGAATGAACGCCTCCTCCAAAATACTAGGAATTTTCATCTTGTTCAATGTGAAGTGCATTGAACAAGACGTTGGGATTTGATAGGGCAATTGAATATAGATCAGATCTCTAGACGGCCTAGACATGTCAATTGATGAAGTGGATATTCCGCTTTTTTCAAGCTCTCTTGATTTTTTCGCCTAAAGCATATTAGTTATGTTGAACTTGTTGCAGTGATGAAGAAATACGCTTCTCGACTCCGCTTGACCACCTAAGGGTTGATTTGCACTGTCAAGTAATTTTTACGTGCGTACGTGCCTAAAATTTACGTTCGCAAATAAAATAGAGGTAATGTATGAAAGATCGCTCATAAGCGTAAAAGTATAACCTCGCTCAACTTCACGTTTAATGTCAACACTTTACATCTTGCCTCTACAGGGTGTTTCAACAGTTCGTTCCGATTGTAAATTGTATTTTGAGAAAAGCATTTAATACTTCATTAGGCAAATGTAAACTGATTCAGGTAAGAAATTTATCTAAATAACCGTTCAAAGTAACTTCAAAATAAAATTTGAAGAAATTATATATATATTTTTTAATTTTTGCCCCAACTGTACACGTACGCGAGGTTTTTCCCGCCATACTTTTCCTACCCATTTTGTAGGTTTTCTATTTTAGTATTTTTATAGTTTTCTTTTATTTTCTCTACTCCTTCATGAAAATGAAGGCCTACACTGTTTGTGCTAGAGATCAGGCATCTATTTTTATGGTCTTCTGGCCATTAAGTCCAAAAAAAAAAATTGCCAAATTGTTGAAGAAGTCTGAACGATGACCGAACAAGTGGTCAAAAGTGAAGACCTTAGAAGACAAACCAAGGAGTAAATGGCCGTTTTTCACAAAATGTGTGAGAAATATTATCGAAAAAGCTGTAAGTATATGCATAATAATTCCACAAAACAGAAAGGTAAAAAAAATTCAACTTCACGTTATCGATCAAAGTTTCGAGCACAACGGTATGGGGATAAGTTACAAAAAAAAGTTGAAAGCCTTGAAGAGAAAAAGGCGGTGCACACTTCATGCCAGCATGGTCAGAAGGATTTGCCAACTTTATACCAAAGGAGGACCGGCCGGCAAACCGACGTGATGTGAACGCCCTAGAAACCATCTGGATTATCATAGACGAGACAACACACAAAGATCGAGCCCCCAATACACCGGACGAGCTAAGACAGTGACTACGCTTCGCCTGGAAGAATGTGACTTTGGACACGCTTTGGGAGCTCGTACATTCTATACCTCACCCCTTAGAAAATGTCAGAAAACATAAAGGAAAGCATTCTGGTTACTAATATTTTAGTTATTCAATGTTAAATGAATAATGAATAACATAATGAGTTTTGAAAAAGGGTTTTTTGATAATTAGTGAAATTTAAGCAAATGCAAAATCGGAACGAACTTTTGCAACACTCTGTAGTTTATTTACGTGATTAAAAAATACCTGAGGTAACGTGCGTAGCCAAAAATTTCGTTCATTGAAATCAACCTTAAAACTGAAAGACGTCCCAAACCTTTATACGGTCATTTACTGTTCACCAGTAACGAAACGTACTGAAACTTACGCTTAACAGAACCTTCCTTAAAACTTTATCAAATACAGTAAAAACCAACGCCTAAGAAACTGCATTTTCCCAAGTTAAACANCTCTGTAGTTTATTTACGTGATTAAAAAATACCTGAGGTAACGTGCGTAGCCAAAAATTTCGTTCATTGAAATCAACCTTAAAACTGAAAGACGTCCCAAACCTTTATACGGTCATTTACTGTTCACCAGTAACGAAACGTACTGAAACTTACGCTTAACAGAACCTTCCTTAAAACTTTATCAAATACAGTAAAAACCAACGCCTAAGAAACTGCATTTTCCCAAGTTAAACAGGTTCTTACATAAATGGTACTTAGCACAAATTAATGTCATTTAAGTTCTTAAATAGGTTCTTATTTTCCAAAGGAAAAACCATTGTAGGCTCTAGCTAAAGTATTTGCTGGTATTCAGCTCATTTCTAAGACTGATGAAATCTGCATACTGACACATTATATTGCAGTTGGAGTGATAACCCTGTCTTCATAAAGGATCCTAAATGTTGACTTAACTTATTTCCCTCGTGTACAGAATATTTTTTTATAGACTTTAAAAATAAGAACCTGTTTCAAATTCAAGGCTAAACAAGTTCTTGTGTAGAGGTAGCCTGTTCCAGGCGTTCAAATGGTGGGGAGTGGGCAAAAAAATTCGTTGGGTGTTCCTTTTGCACTCGACGCATACGATTTAACTCGCTCCCCACCATCTGAACGCCTGGAACAGCCTAGTGTAGAGCGAGCCTTATTAACAGGTTCTGTAAAACTAGGTTCTTACCCTCGTTTTTCTACTATACGTTAAGGTGGCGATGGGGGAGTAGGAATGTGTTTCGTAGTCTTCCAGGTCTGTTTTGATTTTACAGACACCAGTGAAAACATTGCTTTTACAGTGAAACTTACAACTTAGTGTTCAAAGTTTTATGAATTTAACAGTAAGGACCCAAATGTACGTAAACTTACGTGTCATCTTCACCTATATTTCTCATATGATTCTCATAATGTTGAAGAAGAAGTGCCTCACTACTCATCTCCTCTTGACAAATCCAACAGCTATGTTCCTCAAAGATTGCTGATTCAAACCCTTCCGCACTATTGTTTCCACTCTCTTTCTGTACCAGCGCTTTGCTTGCAGATTGTGTGACCTTTTCAACTATCGTAGCCAAAGAATAAGTCAATCTTCCCTTTTTTTGGGAATATTTACCCGACCTTTTTGGAGTATGAGATCTTCCATGTTTTTCTAACTTTCCACATTTGGTAAAACACTTGCCACACTGTTTACATTCATAAGGTTTTTCCTTAGTGTGAACCCTTTCATGAGTCCTTATGGTATGCAAATGTCTAAAACACTTGCCACACTGTTTACATTCATAAGGCTTTTCCCCAGTGTGAACTCTTTTATGAATCCTTAAGTTTCCTGCTACACTAAAACACTTGCCACACTGTTTACATTCATAAGGCTTTTCCCCAGTGTGAACTCTTTCATGAATCCTTAGGGTTCTTACCACGCTAAAACACTTGCCACACTGCTTACATTCATAAGAACTTTCCCCAGTGTGAACTCTTTCATGACTCCTTAGGTCTTCTGATCGGCTAAAAGACTTGCCACACTGTTTACATTCATAAGGCTTTTCCCCAGTGTGAACTCTTTCATGTCTCCTTAAGTTTCCTGCTTCACTAAAACACTTACCACAATGTTTACATTCAAAAGGCTTTTCCCCAGTGTGAACTCTTTCATGACTCCTTAGGGTTCTTACCATGCTAAAACACTTGCCACACTGTTTACATTCATAAGGCCTTTCCCCAGTGTGAACTCTTTCATGTATCCTTAGGGTTCCTGCTTGGCTAAAACACTTGCCACACTGTTTGCATTCATAAGGCTTTTCCCCAGTGTGAACTGTTACATGCCTCTTTAGGTGTGCTGCTTGGCTAAAACACTTGCCACACTGTTTACATTCATAAGGCTTTTCCCCAGAGTGAACTGTTACATGACTCTTTAGGTTTGATGCTTGGCTAAAACACTTGCCACACTGTTTACATTCATAGGGCTTTTTCCCAGTGTGAACTGTTACATGACTCTTTAGGTTTGCTGCTAGGCTAAAACACTTGCCACACTGTTTACATTCATAAGGCTTTTCCCCAGTGTGAACTCTTTCATGAATCCTTAAGTTTCCTGCTAGACTAAAACACTTCCCACACTGTTTACAGTCATAAGGTTTTTCCCCAGTGTGAACTCTTTCATGAATCCTTAAGTTTCCTTCTTTACTAAAACACTTACCACACTGTTTACATTCGAAAGGCTTTTCCCCAGTATGAACTCTTTTATGTCTCCTTAGGTCTTCTGATCGGCTAAAACACTTGCCACACTGTTTACATTCATAAGGCTTTTCCCCAGTATGAACTCTTTTATGTCTCCTTAGGTCTTCTGATCGGCTAAAAGACTTGCCACACTGTTTACATTCACAACACTTTTCCTCAGTGTGAACACTTTTACAATTAAAGGACATTGATCAAGTGCTTCTGGTATCGTCTTTTGGTTATAGTTCCTATTGACACAAAAATGAATCAATATTAGTTAAAAACACAATTACTGCATGTACTTTACTTTGTGGCCACCAATAACATTAGTTTGAGCAGCTGATGCAAGATCAAGCAAGCTCTTTGACAGCTAGGAAAAACTCATTAGAGGAAATAAAGTTACTAGATGTCAGTTCAGCAGAAAATATCCCAACTCTTTAACACCCTTCTGCAAACAGACCAAGCATCAATGAAGGAACACTGATCATTTATTGTTTTTGTACTTGGACCTAAGAATTAAAAGTGCTAAATGGCATAAATCTACCTTAGATCAAGACAGCAATATTGTCTGCCTATAAACCAGACAATATTAATAAATGACACATCAAATACATAAATGACAACAGCTGGGAAGTAATCAATAGGTGATTGATGGGTACTTAAGTTGATTAGTCCTTGATTACTGATGATGATCAATGAGTACCCAATATGATGAAGTTCCTCATGTACTTCATGAACAATGAGTAATCAAAGACTAATCAAATATATGCACCAAACTTTAAGTCACTGGATAACCTAACAGCTACAAAAGTATGCCAGTTTAAATTATAACATAACAAAAGTAAATCGCGCGCTCTGATTGGTCAGTTAGCCACTACCATTTGCCCATAGGTGCATGCCAAGAAACTGAGCTAGCGCAGTAAATTTAGGCAAATTCAACAAATCTCCTCTCCTGACGGTAAAATACACCGATGAAATGCACAGATGAAAAGTGAAAGTTGAAGAAAATACTAAGCTGTCGTTTTGAAGAAAAAAAGACAAAAGATCAAGCGACAAATTTGCCCTGGATGAATTTATCATTTTCCTTGCGGCTAGAATCAGCTGAAGAAAAATCGAGCGAGCAAAGATTCAAGGTACATTTTGTGTGCTTTTTATAGAAGAGAAAGTCTGTTTGAAATGTAAATGTATTAATTAGCATTGTGTTATTGACTTTTTGGTCAAGCTGATGCTAAATTCAAGCAAATATTTTAGGAAACACATTCAAATTAGAAGCAGCCTTGTTGTGAAGTTTTCATCGCATCGATTAAAAATTTTAGGTGAGTTTAAACGGGCACATTATGCTGGAATGAGCGAATTTCATTTGAGTATAGAAACATTTGGGTTTTCAAAAAAGTTTTTAAAAAAAACTTGTGTGTGTATTATTTTGTTCCTCAGTGTTCATTCATAACAGTCATTCAGAGAATGGCCAAAAAACAACAGCTTCAGCATCGGCTGTGTGTCGGCCAATTTCAGTTGCAACTTTGACTTTCATAGCTGGATTTCCCCAGACAGATTTCGACACAAAGCTAGTTAATTTCTTTTCAAAAAATCACAATGGACAATAAGATTTCCTTAATGTCAGTTTAAAAGAGTAAAGATGAAATGCAAATAAAGTTTTTAACAGTGTATTTATTCGAACTATTAATAAAGTAAATAAATCAAAATCGAATAAAATTAGTGTCTTTTTAGTTGGTGTTTATAGTTGCAGCTATAGTTTTCCCTCAAAGTTTTTACCCTAATATTAAGACCAAGTAGACAGATGCCATTCAGAATAGCAGGAACAAACATTTTGCAATTTACCTGAAGAAGGAGAACGGTTGATTCAGCGAAAGAAAAACTCAAAGGGGCGGGCGGATGGCAGCATACATGAACTCGGACCGATGACTCAAACGAAGGCAAATGGAAAATAATGTTTTTCTCTTTTGATTACGTTATAAAAGAAGTGGTTTAAACGTTGCAGCTGTGCAACCGTAGAGTTATGGATGCACTTGGGAGGTTTGCTAAGCACTCAAGAAGCTAGAGTCGCACTGGGCGACTCTTACGCTTCTTTCATTTTGTAATGACGTAAATCTACCAAGATAACAATACTGTCTGCCTATAAACCAGACATAGTATTAATAAATGACACATCAAAAACATAAATGACAATAGCTAGGAAGTAATCAATAGGTGATTGATGGGTACTTGAGTTGATTAGTCATTGATTATTGATGATGATCAATGAGTACCCAATATGATGAATTTCCTCATGCACTTCATGAACAATGAGTAATACAACTAATCAAATATATGCACCAAATTTTAAGTCACTGGATAATCTCACAGCTACAAATGTATGTCAGTTAAAAATACACAAACCAATATTTTCAAGGTACATGTGATATCACATACCAAATGCAAACTGACCCAGGAAATCAGATGGTAGGCTCCCTACCACCCTCCCCAGTCTCCCTCTATTACTTCTAGTTTTTGGTACTTTGCACTGTGCCCTATTATCTGAACACTTGGAACAGGTTATACTATCATTTATCCCATGCCATAGAGAATAAAACAAATAGAATAGAAACCTAAGGTAGTGTTCTGTGAAAATTTCTTGATGATGCTTGCAGCCTCCATATTTTTTCACCAGAAATAGAGCAGAAGCCAAATCACTTAACTCAGAGTTATTCGGCATTATGCAATTGGTGCGCTGCAAAATACCCCTGTCAGGTTTCACTTCATCAGGTTGTTTGTGTGCGAGTTATTTTGCCACAAGTTGATTCACCTACGTGATCTATTAAGGTTTTTTGCTGACAGTGAAGTTCAAACATAAATACAAATGTAGGAGTAAGGCTTATCAGTGACGCTAGCAATGATTTTAAACTTTATAATATTAACCCGTTGATGACTGCAAAACTTCTGGAAGTTCTTCTTTCAAAAAATGATAATTCATTGACCCTGTGTGTAGTAACTTAGAGAGCAAATAGGCCTTATTCTCTTAATTTAAATCTAGAACAATGAGTAAAACACAAGAAACAGGGATGTTATTTCTTGAAATATTTCATTCAAAGACCCAAAATTTAATCCTTAAAAGCAATTTGTGTAACACTATAAACTTAACAAAATGCCCTTACAGCATTCAATCAACCTTGCTTGGAGATTAGATAAGAAATCAGGAGACGATAAATTCTTAAGTAGCCTGTGTGTGGGCATACAAGTCATTTGGGGAAGGAGGAAAGAAAAGCACCAGCTAACCAGGTTACAGTCTATATATAAAAAAACATTTCTCAAACTAACAAGAAAAAAATTACATTAATTCAATTTGTAAACAAGTAGGAAATAAAGTGCTGCAAGTAGAGGGCATTATGGTCAAGTACAAAGCTTAACACATCCGTAACACATATACGTGACAAGTAGTTGAAAAAATTAATAATTGATATCTCACGTATATAAAAAATGGTTTTGGAAGGGGTTTCACAAGATCCATGAATTGACCAGTAAAGAGAGCATGAATCGGGAAAGTCATGAAATATAGAGAAGTGACTTGTAAGAAATATATTTACTGTGATGCATGATCCACTAACATTTCAGTCCCTGTATCAAGATTTCTACTGCTAAAAAACAGATGTAAGTGTCATTACGAGGGTTCGAACTTAAACCATGTAAAAGTGAAGAATTGTAGAGCTTCATTTTTATGGCAATAAAATATTCTTTGCCAGACAACTTTGTAGTCATCAAAAAACATGCGGCAAATCGCCAGTTTGATCAACATACTTTTTGTTTCCTTCCCATCGTGGGGTTGTTAAGACTAACTCTTGCCTATGGTAGTCCAGCAACCTTTAAGAGTCATTCATGGGCTTGATTAGTTCATTCATCACCTTATGAATCACATGATTCATGAATGTACAGAAATTTAACCCATGGTACGAGATCCAGACACCTCCTTCAAGACCCCGTATAAAGTGTAATACTATTTCAGATTTTTCCCCTAAAACTCTTGACAACTGCAAAAATCTATGAATTCAAGATGTACAATTCCAAGAATTACTCAAATATTCGGAAAAACATGATGCCTCAAATTCACTTGCTTTCAAATTTTTCACCTTTGCAACATCATGGCTTTCTACATGAAACAGGATTTCCTTGCTATAAGTTTTCATGTCCTACTTTATTGATGATTGAGTATTCTGCAGGGTATTTATTTGCTTTTTATATCATGTTCAATCATTTGTGTCTGAATCAATTGAGTACCCATATATAAATACACGAAAATCAAGGGACTCCATTCAAGAAAAGTTACATCATTGCCAAAGAGCCAAAATGTGATAAAATAATATGGTGCATCATTTCAATCATCGCCAAACATAAACTGCATGCTCAGCACAAGACTCTTTTCAATTGTGGAAGGACCTGTTCTGGAAAAGCTGGACATCTTTCACATTTAAAAATCTTTTCAACGCTTTCTTCACAAAACATGCATGGTAGGCCTAGATACAAATATCCAGATATTTTAAAGATATTTAGAGGACTTTGAGATATTTAGAAAATCTCGTGATATTTACGAAAAAATTGTGATATTTAGAATTTTGTTACGGAAAAAGTACTCAAATCATATTTTTTCTAGGAAGCTACAATGTACTTCAATGCTAATTGTGGCATTGGCATTTCAGTGACAGAAATTCAAACAATTCTCCACATATTGGCCTGTTGTAATCAGATTCAGCAATATTTTCCATTTATAATATTATGTAATGTGGCTAATGTTCAAGAATATGGCTGATGACGTACCCTCTGAGCCATGCACAAACCAAACAGTAGTGTCCCTTTTAGACCACTTTAGACCTCCAACACCTAATGGTCTTTCACGAAACTCTGCCTTGCAGTACCCTAGTCTTCTTGGAGGTTGAAGGGTACTGTAAATAAGGCTGACTTTATGTGGAATTGTTTAGAGTTTTGTTGTAGGCTGCACAAGAATATAATTTCCTGAAATTTGTGTTGCCATTATAGATGACAGGCTTTTTTGTGTGTTTTTACTGTAATATCTATTTAATGAAGCCAGATATTTTTGAGATGTTTAGAACTTTTTCGAAATATTTAGAAACAAATTTCGAGATATTTAGAAAAAAAAATCAGGAATTTGCAGAAAACATTTTTAGCTGATTTTTCGTGATATCTGTATCTAAGCCTAATACATGGCTTTTATATCTTGTAGGTCCCATCACAATCCTATCCCCAGTTTCCATGGTCTCCACTGGGAATGCCTAGGACAATTTATTGACCCCCTTTGGTGGACTAAATACAAAGGAAAAAAAGGCTTACAGATTCTGAGTCTCGTTACTACAATCAAGAAATACCTTACCTTTACCTGTTCCATTCTCCCTTTAATAGACCTTGTCACGGTTTTCGATGCCACCTTAACGAGCAGACAAACAAGTGAGAAATTACAGTGTTTGTATGAGAATCTAATGTTGAATAATTTCCGTAAAACAGCTGTTCTCAAAAAAATATCAATTGTAAGCTAAAGCTACAAAGTAAAGCATGAGAGGCTTAGGCCGGTTCAGGAATTCACAGCAGGCATTTGCCCAAGGCATTAAAATCCCGCGGCCATTTGCCTTCCTTGCGGTTAGGCATATGGCAATCTGTGGTAAGCTAGTACCTGGTCACAAGCAATTTAATGTTGCGTATGCTATTTCCCGTTTTAAAAAAAGGTCTCTCTAAAAATATGTTTCCATTTGGAACACTTAAAACAGAATCAGAGAACATTAATTTCATCATTAACATCATTTTGGATCTGTTGACAGTAACTTTATAAAAAGCAACAGAACAAAAAACACAAGCAAGATGCTGCGTTATTGCTGTAATAAAATTAACCCCATTAAGTAATGCCATGGCGCTCAAGACGAATTTTTTTCTCGTTTAATTTTCGCTTATGCACATGCTGGCTATCTTGTGATCTTCCCGGAAACAGATAAATAATTACTATCACGGCCGCAAGGTGAGTAATTAAAAATCTTTACATTGGCTATAAATGCGAGCGGACTGTTATGTTAAAGACGTTGCGCTAAAAGTGGTTGTGAGGACCAGCTCAGTCGCTAATGAAACTGTTAAGCATTATAGCACTACTATCAATAAAGCGAAGAGGCCTCAAACAGGACAATCATTTTACTCATAGAAATGTTAAGCTTTGTGCGTTATATACCTGATACATGTAACTATAAGCCGGCCTACAAAAAATGTGGATCTTTCCTCAGGAAATATTTGTAAACTTGAGCATTGAATTTATAGGCATGCTGAGTGATATTTCAAGCGAAAAATTGATCCTTATTTACCTGGGTCTAACAAGTACACTGGGGCATTAATTTACTTGTGTTTAACAAATACCGCAAAAATACGCTGGGGTGTTAATTTGCTTGTGTCTAACAAATACCGTAATTTGCCTTGTCTAACAAATACACTGGGGCATTAATTTGCCTGTGTTTAACAAAATACACTGGGGCATTAATTTGCCTGTGTTTAACAAAATACACTGGGGCATTAATTTGCCTGTGTTTAACAAATACACAGGGGCATTAATTTGCCTGTGTTTAACAAACACACCGGGGCAATAATTTGCCTGTGTTTAACAAATACATGGGGGCATTAATTTGCCTGTGTTTAACAAAATACACTGGGGCATTAATTTGCTTGTGTTTAACAAATACACTGGGGCAATAATTTGGCTGTGTCTTACAAAATACTTGGGGGCATTAATTTGCCTGTGTTTAACAAATACACTGGGGCATTAATTTGCCTGTGTCTAACAATGACATTGGCACATTTATTTTCCTCTGTCTAACGAATAAACGTTTGAAGTATTTACTTCTCTCTAACAAATATATTTATGTAATTCTTTACCAATACAATGGCAACTAACATAAACACATTTTAAAACTGAAAATTCAGGTGATGTATATTTTTTAACCAAGCCAGCACAAAACTGCTAGCCATGAAAAATGTCACCGCAAAGAAAGAGTAGCCCCGTCCCATTGTTTTACTGTATTACATATCAGGCATTCAAGAAAACTCATATACATTAATGAGGAAAATTGGCCGCTAAAATGTGTCAGGATTAATCCGGCTTAATAAGGCTTGTCTTCTTTTTAGTGTGGTTCGTCTTTCAGCTCCTACTGTGATTTAGGTAAAAAAAAATTTACCTAAGCAGCGGGCACCCAAATTCCTGAACCGACCTTAGCCTGTCGTGGATTGTCCTGAAAAAATTTTGGGGCGTACCTGTGCTTAGATTTCTCCAAAGGCTTGCTTTAGATTTTCCATATATTTCTCTGTTTTCCCAGGACTTTCTTACACACAAATGTATAGAAAATTTTGAAAAGTGGTTGCAGGTCTTCTCGTACATGTAACGCCCTCAATTTTTTTCAGTAGAATTCTTCGGAGAGAAGCTTTAGTTTACAAATCATATTTTTGCCAGAACAGCCATTCTACGGAAATTATTCGACATTAGATTCTCATACAAACACTGTAATTTTTCACACATTCGATTACTCGTCAAGATGGCGTCGAAAACCATAGGTCTATGGGGCCCATTTTTGCAGCGAAGGGAATGGTCATTTCAAGTCATCCGGTGAACCGACTTTGGAGTGGATTTGACACAAACACAAAATCATTGGGCTGAGTTATTGGTCTTGAGAATTCTTAGGAATGTTGGAGCAAATTAATGCGAAATATTTTAGTTTACAAATCATATTTTTGTCAGAACAGCCGTTCTACAGAAATTATTCGACATTAGATTCTCATACAAACACTGTAATTTTTCACGCGTTTGCCTACTCGTCAAGATGGCGTCGAAAACCGTGACAAGGTCTATGGGGCCCATTTTTGTAGCGAAGGGACAGGTCATTTCATGTCATCCCGTGAACCGACTTTGGGAGTGGATTTGACACAAACACAAAATCATTGCGCTGAGATATTGGTCTTGAGAATTCTCAGGAATGTTGGCGCAAATTAACGCGAAAGAATTTTCCAGGAATTACTGGCAATGACTCTCGAGAATTCTCGAAAAATCCCAGGACTTTGGTGAGAAATTTCGCACGTACGGGTTTGGAATTGATCGTGGATCCGCAAGTAAAATCGGCTGAGCACCAAATAAAACCCATCTCAAATTGGGCCGCATTTTGTAGTTTTTCTTAAGCGCCGAGTACAAAATGTATAAAACGTCTATAAAGCAGCTTAATAGATCATGGCATAGATCACTTCAGTGTAGGCGAGAAGACTTGTAGGCGAAACGCCTGACATTTTTCCTCAGAAGCTGTCAGAAGGCTAGCTAACCGCTACAACTGAATTTTAAAAACTGGACGTAACAATAACATATTTAAAGCATTCCTACCTTACCTGACAAGATATTGCCTTGTTGATTAACTCAAAAAGAAGATGAAATCGACAAGAGAGGTTTACTACTAGCAGCTAAATACAGGAATTGCACCGACCTGTGATTGGAAGATAAAAATAGTATGTCAGTGGCGATGACGTGACAATTCGTTACGTTAGCCGTTTCAAGAGTAACGGTTTTTATCACAGGAAAATACAATATAATATTAAATATTTCTCAAAGACAAACAGTGCAGTATTCTTTTGAAGTCGGCTGACTCGTCAAGAGTCAATGTCTTATCGAATTTGAAGTTCAACTGTCGCAAATCGGATAACTTCACTGAGTGATTCTGAGATGAAACCTTTTGTCTGCATCCACATTGATCTTAGATTTTACCACTTACATATTGAAGAAAAGCCATAGACAGAGCTTCAATGTCCACGTACACCCGACTGAACTTCGGTGCGATTCCTGCAGATACCGCTGTTCATACTAAATGAAGGAATTGCACCGGACGCGTTCTCGTCTCCAGAAATTTTTTTTTTTGAAACCGCGACAAGACATCGATCCCTTTTCAATATAGTCTTGCGACAAAGGTCTGTATTAAAAAAATTAATACTGTTGTAGGAGGGCATGCAATGAATCATGCTAAAGTTTCTATTGGGAACACAAGATAGAGGTACCAGGGAATCATAGGGAACAACTGTGTAAGTGACATAACTTTTTATTTAACTTTGTAGCTAGTGTGCCGGGGGGGGGGAGGCAAAGAACAATCAGCCCGAGGTTTAGATGACCGTTAGTCAGGATCCTATAACCCCTGCTTCAGTATAATTTAACTTCGAATACAAGTGATGTGTTATTTCCAGTGTCCTAAGTCTTGTCCTATCAAGCGAAAATCAAAACACGAGAAAATCAATTAAAGTTTCCCATCCCGCGGCTATTTCATTTATGCCAAGTTGCGCATTCGACCAATGAGCGTCCGGTGTATTCTCGTTCCCAGAGCCCATCTTTCTTGGTCACGTGCTCTTTTGTTACAACTTAGAGTGACTCTGGGGAAGAGAACGCGTCCGGTGTAATTCCTGCATTTAGTATGAACAGCGGTATCTGCAGGAATCGCACCGAAGTTCAGTCGGGTGTACGTGGACATTGAAGCTCTGTTTATGGCTTTTCTTCAATATGTAAGTGGTAAAATCTAAGATCAATGTGGATGCAGACAAAAGGTTTCATCTCAGAATCACTCAGTGAAGTTATCCGATTTGCGACAGTTGAACTTCAACTTCGATAAGACATTGACTCTTAGCGAGTCAGCCGACTTCAAAAGAATACTGCACTGTTTGTCTTTGAGAAATATTTAATATTATATTGTATTTTCCTGTGGACTGTCTTTTTCGTGTAAAAATTATTACTCTTGAAACGGCTAACGTAACGAATTGTCACGTCATCGCCACTGACATACTATTTTTATCTTCCAATCACAGGTCGGTGCAATTCCTGTATTTAGCTGCTAGTGGTTTACTAATGGCCGCCATCTTGATTTTACACCGATAGAGGACTGGTGAGAGTGCAATAAAAATGTGCTGTCGGGGACCCTGTGGGATAATTCCGTGGTTTCGTCTTTCGTCTATGACCTCCAAGCGTTTCCGTTGTTTTCCTGCGGTAGCCTGCGTGGCAGGCGCAAAAAGGGGAGGGGGGACGGGGGAGGGAGAAAGGGAAAAGGGAAGGGAGCCTCTCCCTCTCCCCAATCCCCCTCCCCTTTTTCCCTTCCTCCTTATCCCCTATCCCCTATCCCCTACCCCTTTCGCAGGCTACCGTGCGGTTCCGAAGCAAACCTGAACGAGGAACGAGACTCAAAGACTGCGCAAAAAATAGGGACCTTACGATCCGACGACCGCGACGGCAGCGTAAACGTCAAAAAAGCAATACCATAAAGCGTAGCGACGCCCCGAAAGTATCGTCAAAAGTTTGTCGTCCAATAAATCCCGAAATAGCGAGTCCCGAAAGAAGTGAGCCCCGAAAAGTATCGAGACTAGATTTTTCTGATTACGTTATAAACATACCGAATGCCCTTATTGTTTTCTAATTGCAATCCACAGTCAAATTTTTAATGTACAATACTAATAATTTTTTGCATTTTCAAATTTATCACGATAAGGCACTTTACAACAAGGGAAACGTGGCATGCCTGAAAGTATCATTCCAACGAGTATTCCCCATTTTCCCCCCGGGAAAGCAGAGCAAGCGAAACGCGAGCGCTCGTGAAAATCACCCCACGCGAGAAAAGCGAGACGCCGTCTTGCTTTTTTCGCGTGGGGTAATTTTCACGCGCGCTCGCGTTAGTTTCGCTCGCTCTACAATGGAGACTACTTGTAGCCTAAGTCGGCGAGCATCGGCATTATTGCGTAACATTCGAAATATAAGGATTTCTATGGAAAAAAACCTATCGTTTCTGTAACCTACGAAAACAAAAGGATTTCACTAAAAAACAGCTTACCTTACTAACTGTGTGTCACGTCTCTCCTGTGTAGTCCACGGGCCGATTTATGACCGTTTTATGGGTTTTTTTGTAAATATGAGCTCGCCGATGCTCATATGACATACTATGACAAATTTTGCCTTCTGTATTTGAACATGGGTAAAGCCCTTAAGAATTCAACTCCATATTGTAGTTTTTAACAGGTGATTAGCCACCAGGTGGATGCACTGTTTTATTAAAATAATCCATTATTATTATTTTTATTATTATCATTAACTCGAGAAAAAGTCGCCTACATTTGACGAATTGAGCGGTTCCAAATAAACGCAACAAAGTTTCAAAGGACGCGAATTCACTTTTTTGGTGATGTTTTCGCTGCAGTCGTCGTTCAGTAAATCTGCACCGATCTAAACCTCTAATTCCAGAAATTTAATTTTTATGACGTCACACTTTCGCACTCGAGTGCAGAACGCCGAACGCCGAACGCCAAACGACAGAGTCTAATGGATAGGGTCACGAAACGGAGTGAATCAGAAACTGGGAAAAAGGACCTGAAACTTGATTCACTCTTTTTTCTATAAACCCCATTAAAACGCTAAACTTTAGAGTCATTCGGCGTTCTGCAAAATACCCTGGCCTGCCGGTGAAAACGTTCAATAGGGAAGGGAAGGGGCATCTCGGCGCCCAAGACGTGCGAGCAGAACAGCTTCATGACCTCTTGAAACCGACTCCATGCACTGCATAAAACCTACGCGCTAGAAGGAAATGAAAGAAACCTCTGTTGTTCAAACAAAATCTAAGGTTACGTGTCACACCATCACTAACCAATGAGCGATGTCTGGTACATACATAAATACATACATACATTTATTTCATGGTGACGTTAATAAAGAAGGCAACTATAAAGCTGATCTGGACCTGCTAACGTACTAAGACAATTCATAATACAACAATTAAATAAGAAATAAAGACAGTAGAAACAAATGTATGTACAATAAAATAGATTAAAAATGCCTAATTAAAAAAATATTATCTATAAATTACACTGTAGGACTGACATTTAAAAATACTTAAAATTGAGGTCTTTACATATATTATACATTACAGAGCACTCTTTACCAAAATTGATGTCCCTTATTAGATTTTTAATCGATTCAATTTTCCTTTTAAAAGTTTCCGGGTTGTCATGTTGTTTGATGACATCAGGTAGTGTGTTCCGAGCGACTGCTGCTCTATGTGTAAATGATGTACGCCCCAGATTGAGTTCATATCTCCCGTGAGGAGTGAAATGATGTGAAGTATATGAAATAATTCATTTTTAAACTGCGGTTGTAGATGAACTCGATAAATTGACCTCGCTCCCAATATGTGGCTTCATAGCTCAATTGGTAGAGCAACGCGCAGGCAACGCGGAGGTCACGGGTTCGAATCCCGTTGAAGCCCTGATTTTTTTTTCAGGCTTCTTCTTTCCAATCGCTTAAATTGGAAAATTTACTGCGATGATCATTCTTCACTCTCATATATTGTACTGTTACTCTGTTACCCTGTTACTCTGTTACGCTGTTACTTTGTTGTCTTATTACTCTGTTACCTTATTACTCTGTTACCTTGTTACCTTGTTACTCTGTTTCCTTGTTTCCCTGGGATAGGGCAAATATACTCTAGCTAAATGATGTTGCCATTTTAGAGAATCATTTTCATTTATAATGTGTACATTTATTTTTACAAGCCAGGTCGAGTTAGGCTTTGGTATAAAGATAATTCATTGAACTATGATTCATTCTCAGCCGAAAAGGTGTTGAAAATTCGATATTTTAGAAACTGCAGCTATACTAATATGAAAGCACCGTTTTCACTCTTGGCCCTGTTTACAAGGAGGGAGGGTAAACCTGGTGCTGTGGGCAGCTAGTCAGGGTCAAAAATAACTCGATGCCTATTTTCTATGTCGTCTTGTCTACTTGTTCTGTCGTTTTGCCGATTTGTCAGGTCATCTTGTCTACTTGTTGTGTCGTCGAGATCAGGTAAAGCCGAGAGTTGGCAGTTAAGTCTGACGTCAAGCCTTGTACAACTGACCTCTCGAAGTCACAAAAAAATTTTGAACTGGGAGTAAAGTGGTAGATAGAGGAAACCGGCTTGTAGTGATCTAGTATTCAATGCAAAACTGAACTGAGTATACTAGTTACTCAATGTCCTCGTGTTGTGCGATTTTCAACGATTTTCTCGATAACGGAAAAGGTGTGATTAAAAAACGAACGCAATTAAACTTCAGCCTTGTGTGGTATTGACTGAAAGCGCTCAAACGTTACACCTGTTGTAGGACCCTGCCGCTTTGTTAAGTCATTTTACAAGGACGCCTTAAGACTCAGTGTTTTATGCAAAATGACTGATCGTAAAAATATTGCCAAGAAATTTCGCTTAGATTTGAAAGTTGTGACGGAGAGAGAGATATCGGAAAATATTCCGTTTTCGTAAACCTCTGAATGTCATTTACGATTTTTTGGAAAATCATGATAAAAGTATGAAAGCCAAAAGAAACTATAACAGGCTTAAGCTTCCATAGGATTGAGACAGAGAGCCTTCGTCATGGTCCAAGCGCTGTTCTCAAAAAAGTAAACTTTCGCTTGATTTCCGTCAACCAGAACGCATAAGAGGAAAAATTTACTGACGAAAGCTGGTTGCTAATAATTACTCTGAACGAAGACCGATTTGTCGTGCAAACCATTCAACAACGACCTTAATCCCAAAAAAGACCTCGTCTATACGGGAAAAAAAATTGTGATTTGTGATGCAAAAATACACTAAAATTAAAAACTTGAGAACAGAGTAACAGGGGAACAAGGGAAGAGGGTAACAGGGTAAAAAAGGGACAGAGTAACAAGGGGACAAAGCAATAAGGTGACAGAGTAACAAGGTAACAAGGTAACAGAGTAACAAAGGTAACAGGGTAACAGAGTAACAAGGTACCAAGCAAAAAGGGAAGGTATAACTTATGCAAGGAAAGTCGGTACAATGTATGTCCCCATACATCAAGTACCTACCCAAGTATGTAGCGCAGTCGACGAAAGGCATACCCGACGACACGAAGACATAAAAATGACGCAACGACGACATAAGCCCATAGCCACGCCACGAAGAAAAGCCAGCGGTGCCCCGAAGAAAAACAGTACGATGAAACGAGGAATGTGACGACTCGAAGACATGAAACCAACGCCACGAAGACAACAGACAATGACTCGAAGAACAATTTTCGAAGCGAAGAAGTGTTTCCTGAGTATCGATTTTGTCCCCGATCTGACGCCATACTGATCTCTGGTTCGCTGGTGGTGGGCCGGTCGCTGGGCCCGGCCGCCTCGAGGTCTGCTGGTTCCTCTTCGGCCTTTCTCCTGGCCAACTCTAGTGCCACGGTCTTCCTTTCGTTTGCCGTGCGTCGTTCGTAGGTCATCTGGGCTTGCTGTCGGTCGAAGAGACGGAAAAAAGGGGGGGTTTGGGCGTGACAGAAACGTGAGGGGCAAGGAGAGAGGCTTATTTGAAGAAATTAAAGATGACGTCAAAACATTTAAAGCCTAACGTTATCACTCTAAAAAGTTTATTACATTTAGAGAAAAAAGTTAATGCATTAGGCCCCAGTTGTTCAAAAGGTGGATGATAGTGTCACTGGATAAATCTCTATCCACTGTATAGCGCAATTGCTTTCCCTAATACTTATCCACTGGATAGTGATTTATCGGGTGGATAGCGCTATCCAGCTTTTGAACAACTGGGGCCAGGACTTACATTTACATTACATTTAAGGTCGTTTTTGTAGAAGCTAAAACTTGCGTAATATTTTCTTTTTTATTAAAACGCTTGCAATAATCCTGAAACCTGGAAACAGCTACAAAGAGTTAGAAATACAACTACATAATCGCAAGCTACAAAACGTGTTGATGATTTAATTACGAAAAACCTAAAACCAATATTTTTAATCATCAACAGTTCAGTCTACAAAAGGATTCTTCTGTCCATCTACAAAAACGCACTAATTGACTCAATATGAGTTACTAATTCCTCTAATAGAAGCGCTATCCGAATTTTCAATCGACTACCATAAATGACGTAATGAACGCCCTCTTCCAAATAAATGCCTCCTATCTTTGAAACGCCTCATCTAGGCTGTTGCCCTTCTCCAATTAACGCCTCCTCCAAAATTCTACCAATTTTCATCTTGTTCAATGTTAATTGCAAAGTAAGGATAGACTAACAATGGCAACACAATATCCCTGAGCGAGGCTTCTGACTTCTATGTTGGGATTTGACAGAGCAATATGGATCTCTAGACGGCCTAGACGATGAAGTGGATATTCGGTTTTTCTCAAACTCCATTGATATTTTTGCCTAAAGCATATTCGTTTTGTTGAACTTGTTACAGTAATGAAAACAAACGCTTCTCACCTCCGCTTGATCCCCCGGCCCCTCAAATTGAAAAGACGCCTAAAGTGTTTATACTGTCATTTACCGTTCACCAGTAACGCAACTTACTGATTACGCTTCACAGAACCTTCCATAGAGCTTTATCAAATACAGTAAAAACCGACGACTAAGAACCTGCATTTTCCCAAGCTAGCCTAAACAGGTTTTTATTAACTGGTAATTTGCATAAGTGTAGGTTATTTAGGTTCTTAAATAGGTTCTTCTTTTCTGAAGGAAAAAAACATTGTAGCTAAGAGTATTTGGTGGTATTCAGCTTCTTCCTAAGATAAAATCGGCATAATGACATAACATTGCAATTGGAGTGATAAAACGCCTGTCTTCAAAAAGGATCCTGAGTATTGACTTAACTTATTTGCCCAAGTGTACAGAATTTTTTTTATAGAATTTAGAAAATAAAAAACTGTTTCAAATTTAAGGCTGAACAAGTTCTTCTGTAGAGGGAACCTAATTGGCAGATTTTAGCCCAACAGATTCTCAAAAACTAGGTTCTTACTCCCTGGTTTTTACTGTACGTCAAGGCGGTGATGGGGAGAGAGGGAATGTGTTTCGTTGTCTTCCAGGCCTGTTGTGGTTTTACAGACACCCGTGTAAACATTGCTGTTTGGTGGCCTTTCAGGTCTGTTCTGGTTTTACAAACACCCGTGTAAACACTGCTTTTACTTTGAAACTTACAACTTAGTGTTCAAAGTTTTATGAATTTAACAAAAAGGACCCAGATGTTCGAAAACTTACGAGTCATCTTCAGGAGTATATCTCATATGGTTTTCATAGTGTTGAAGAAGAAGTGCCTCACTAGTCATCTCCTCTTGGCAAATCCAACAGCTGTGTTCCTCAAAGATTGCTGATACTAAGCCTTCAATACTATTGCTTCCACTCTCTTTCTGTATTAGCGCTTTTTCTACAGATTGTGTGACCTTTTCAACTGTCGTAGCCAAAGAATAAGTCAAGTCCTTTCTTTGGGAATATTTTCCCGACCTTTTTGGAGTATGAGATCTTCCATGTTTTTTTAGCTGTCCACTTCTGGTAAAACACTTGCCACATTGTTTACATTCATAAGGTTTTTCCTTAGTGTGAGCCCTTTCATGAGTCCTTATGGCATTCAAATGTCTAAAACACTTGCCACACTGTTTACATTCATAAGGCTTTTCCCCAGTGTGAATTCTTTCATGTTTCCTTAGGTTTCCTGCTACACTAAAACACTTGCCACACTGTTTACATTCATAAGGCTTTTCCCCAGTGTGAACTCTTTGATGAATCCTTAAGTTTCCTGCTTCACTAAAACACTTACCACACTGTTTACATTCAAAAAGCTTTTCCCCAGTGTGAACTCTTTCATGACGTGTTAGGGCTCCTTTTTCTCTAAACCACTTTCCACAAATTTTGCATTCGTAAGGCTTTTCCCCAGTGTGAACTCTTTCGTGTATCCTTAGGGATCCTACTGCATTAAAACACTTGCCACACTGTTTACATTCATAAGGCTTTTCCCCAGTATGAACTCTTTTATGTCTCCTTAGGTCTTCTGATCGGCTAAAACACTTGCCACACTGTTTACATTCATAAGGCTTTTCCCCAGTATGAACTCTTTTATGTCTCCTTAGGTATTCTGATCGGCTAAAACACTTGCCACACTGTTTACATTCATAACACTTTTCCTCAGTGTGAACGCTTTTACAATTAAAGGACATTGATCAAGTGCTTCTGGTATCGTCTTTTGGTTATAGTTCCTATTGACACAAAAATGAATCAGTATTAGTTAAAGACACAATTACTGCATGTACCTTACTTTGTGGCCACTAATAAAATTAGTTTGAGCAGCTGATGCAAGATCAAGCAAGCTCTTTGATAGCTAGGAAAAACTCATTAGAGGAAATAAAGTTACTAGATGTCACTTCAGTAGGAAATATCCCAACTCTTTAACACCCTTCTGCAAACAGACCAAGCATCAATGAAGGAACACTGATCATTTATTGATTTTGTACTTGAACCTAAGAATTAAAACTGCTTAATGGCATAAATCTACCTTAGTCAAGACAGCAATATTGTCTGCCTACAAACCAGACATAACATTAATAAATGACACATCAAATACATAAATGACAACAGCTGGGAAGTAATTAATAGGTGGTTGATGGGTACTTAAGTTGATTAGTCATTGGTTACTGATGATGATCAGTGGTTACCCAATATGATGAATTTCCTCATGCACTTCATGAACAATGAGTAATGAATGAATAATCAAATATATGCAACAAATTTTAAGTCACTGGATAATCTCATGGCTACAAATGTATGTCAGTTAAAAATACACAAACCAATATCTTCAAGGTACATGTGGTATCACATACCAAATGTAAACTGACCCAGGAAATCAGATGGTAGGCTCCCTACCACCCTCCCCAGTCTCCCTCTATTACTTCTAGTTTTCTGTACTTTGTACTGTGCCCTATTATCTGAATACTTGGAACAGGTTATACCATCATTTATTTTATCCCATGCCATAGAAAATACAACAAATAGAATAGAAACCTATTGCATACTCTCTCCAGTATATGCACAGGTAGTGTTCTGTGAAAATTTCTTGGTGATGCTTGCAGCCTCCACATTTTTTCACCAGAAATAGAGCAGAAGCCAGATCACTTAACTCAGAATTATTCAGCATTATGCAATTGGTGTGCTGCAAAATACCCCTGCCAGGTTCCACTTCATCAGGTTGTTTGTGTGCGAGTTATTTTGCCCACAAGTCAATTTGCCTACACTAAGGTTGATTCGCCTACGTGATCTATTAAGGTGTTTTGCTGACAGTGAAGTTCATACATAAATACAAATGTAGGAGTAAGGCTTATCAATGACGCTAGCAATAATTTTAAACTTTATAATATTAACCTGTTGATAACTGCAAAACTTCTCGAAGTTGTTCTTCCAGACAATGATAATTCATTGACCCTGTGTGCAGTAACTTAGTATGAGAGCAAATAGGCTTAATTCTCTTAATTTAAATCTAGAACAATCAGTAAAACACAACAAACAACGATGTTATTTCTTGAAATATTTTATTCGAAGACCCAAAATTTAATCCTTACAAGCAATTTGCATAACACTATAAACTCAACAAGATGCCCTTACAGTATTCAATCAACCTTGCTTGGAAATTAGATAAGAAATCAGAAGGCAATAAATTCTTAAGTAGCCTGTGTGTGGGCATGAAAGTCGTTTGGGTAAGGAGGAAAGAAAAGTACCAGCTAGCCAGGTTACAGTATTAAAAAAAAAAAACATTTCTCAAACTAACATGAAAAGAATTACATTAATTCAATTTGTATACAAGTAGTTTCCATTGGAAATAAAGTGCTGCAAGTAGAAGGCATGATGGTCAAGTACAAAGCTTAACACATCTGCAATACATACATGACAAGTAGTTGAAAAAATTAATTGATATCTCACGTATATAAAAAATGGTTTTGGAAGGGGTTTCACAAGATCCATGAATTGACCAGTAAAGAGAGCATGAATCGGGAAAGTCATGAAATATAGAGAAGTGACTTGTGAGAAATATATTTACTGTGATGCATGATCCACTAACATTTCAGTCCCTGTATCAAGATTTCTACTGCTAAAAAACAGATGTAAGTGTCATAACGAGGGTTCGAACTTAAACCATGTAAAAGTGAAGAATTGTAGAGCTTCACTTTTATGGCAATAAAATATTCTTTGCCAGACAACTTTGTAGTCATCAAAAAACATGCGGCAAATCGCCAGTTTGATCAACATACTTTTTGTTTCCTTCCCATCGTGGGGTTGTTAAGACTAACTCTTGCCTATGGTAGTCCAGCAACCTTTAAGAGTCATTCATGGGCTTGATTAGTTCATTCATCACCTTATGAATCACATGATTCATGAATGTACAGAAATTTAACCCATGGTACGAGATCCAGACACCTCCTTCAAGACCCCGTATAAAGTGTAATACTATTTCAGATTTTTCCCCTAAAACTCTTGACAACTGCAAAAATCTATGAATTCAAGATGTACAATTCCAAGAATTACTCAAATATTCGGAAAAACATGATGCCTCAAATTCACTTGCTTTCAAATTTTTCACCTTTGCAACATCATGGCTTTCTACATGAAACAGGATTTCCTTGCTATAAGTTTTCATGTCCTACTTTATTGATGATTGAGTATTCTGCAGGGTATTTATTTGCTTTTTATATCATGTTCAATCATTTGTGTCTGAATCAATTGAGTACCCATATATAAATACACGAAAATCAAGGGACTCCATTCAAGAAAAGTTACATCATTGCCAAAGAGCCAAAATGTGATAAAATAATATGGTGCATCATTTCAATCATCGCCAAACATAAACTGCATGCTCAGCACAAGACTCTTTTCAATTGTGGAAGGACCTGTTCTGGAAAAGCTGGACATCTTTCACATTTAAAAATCTTTTCAACGCTTTCTTCACAAAACATGCATGGTAGGCCTAGATACAAATATCCAGATATTTTAAAGATATTTAGAGGACTTTGAGATATTTAGAAAATCTCGTGATATTTACGAAAAAATTGTGATATTTAGAATTTTGTTACGGAAAAAGTACTCAAATCATATTTTTTCTAGGAAGCTACAATGTACTTCAATGCTAATTGTGGCATTGGCATTTCAGTGACAGAAATTCAAACAATTCTCCACATATTGGCCTGTTGTAATCAGATTCAGCAATATTTTCCATTTATAATATTATGTAATGTGGCTAATGTTCAAGAATATGGCTGATGACGTACCCTCTGAGCCATGCACAAACCAAACAGTAGTGTCCCTTTTAGACCACTTTAGACCTCCAACACCTAATGGTCTTTCACGAAACTCTGCCTTGCAGTACCCTAGTCTTCTTGGAGGTTGAAGGGTACTGTAAATAAGGCTGACTTTATGTGGAATTGTTTAGAGTTTTGTTGTAGGCTGCACAAGAATATAATTTCCTGAAATTTGTGTTGCCATTATAGATGACAGGCTTTTTTGTGTGTTTTTACTGTAATATCTATTTAATGAAGCCAGATATTTTTGAGATGTTTAGAACTTTTTCGAAATATTTAGAAACAAATTTCGAGATATTTAGAAAAAAAAATCAGGAATTTGCAGAAAACATTTTTAGCTGATTTTTCGTGATATCTGTATCTAAGCCTAATACATGGCTTTTATATCTTGTAGGTCCCATCACAATCCTATCCCCAGTTTCCATGGTCTCCACTGGGAATGCCTAGGACAATTTATTGACCCCCTTTGGTGGACTAAATACAAAGGAAAAAAAGGCTTACAGATTCTGAGTCTCGTTACTACAATCAAGAAATACCTTACCTTTACCTGTTCCATTCTCCCTTTAATAGACCTTGTCACGGTTTTCGATGCCACCTTAACGAGCAGAAAAACAAGTGAGAAATTACAGTGTTTGTATGAGAATCTAATGTTGAATAATTTCCGTAAAACAGCTGTTCTCAAAAAAATATCAATTGTAAGCTAAAGCTACAAAGTAAAGCATGAGAGGCTTAGGCCGGTTCAGGAATTCACAGCAGGCATTTGCCCAAGGCATTAAAATCCCGCGGCCATTTGCCTTCCTTGCGGTTAGGCATATGGCAATCTGTGGTAAGCTAGTACCTGGTCACAAGCAATTTAATGTTGCGTATGCTATTTCCCGTTTTAAAAAAAGGTCTCTCTAAAAATATGTTTCCATTTGGAACACTTAAAACAGAATCAGAGAACATTAATTTCATCATTAACATCATTTTGGATCTGTTGACAGTAACTTTATAAAAAGCAACAGAACAAAAAACACAAGCAAGATGCTGCGTTATTGCTGTAATAAAATTAACCCCATTAAGTAATGCCATGGCGCTCAAGACGAATTTTTTTCTCGTTTAATTTTCGCTTATGCACATGCTGGCTATCTTGTGATCTTCCCGGAAACAGATAAATAATTACTATCACGGCCGCAAGGTGAGTAATTAAAAATCTTTACATTGGCTATAAATGCGAGCGGACTGTTATGTTAAAGACGTTGCGCTAAAAGTGGTTGTGAGGACCAGCTCAGTCGCTAATGAAACTGTTAAGCATTATAGCACTACTATCAATAAAGCGAAGAGGCCTCAAACAGGACAATCATTTTACTCATAGAAATGTTAAGCTTTGTGCGTTATATACCTGATACATGTAACTATAAGCCGGCCTACAAAAAATGTGGATCTTTCCTCAGGAAATATTTGTAAACTTGAGCATTGAATTTATAGGCATGCTGAGTGATATTTCAAGCGAAAAATTGATCCTTATTTACCTGGGTCTAACAAGTACACTGGGGCATTAATTTACTTGTGTTTAACAAATACCGCAAAAATACGCTGGGGTGTTAATTTGCTTGTGTCTAACAAATACCGTAATTTGCCTTGTCTAACAAATACACTGGGGCATTAATTTGCCTGTGTCTAATAAATACACTGGGGCATTAATTTGCCTGTCTTTAACAAAATACACTGGGGCGTCAATTTGCCTGTGTTTAACAAATACACTGGGGCATTAATTTGCCTGTGTTTAACAAATACACTGGGGCATTAATTTGCCTGTGTTTAACAAAATACACTGGGGCATTAATTTGCCTGTGTTTAACAAAATACACTGGGGCATTAATTTGCCTGTGTTT